CCACTCCCCTCATTTTATTTCTTTCTTTTATTTATAGTTTAGGGTTTCACTTTGTAATCAGACTTGGTATTTGGAATTTATCGATCAGTTTTTCTCCCGTTCTCCTTGCTTCTTTGCTCCTCCTCTCTTCTTCTTCCTCTTCTCTAACTTCTCATCCCTTCCAATCTTTTCTTGTTCTACATCAATTTTGGCATCAGAGCCAGGTTGATTGCTTCATTCTACTTTTTTTCAAACTCATTTTTCAATCCCCAAACATGCCCTTATTACAAAACCACCCACAGCCGCTGCCCCTTCACCATTGTTCGCTCATTTTCAGACAACCGTTCACCGCGCCGCCACTTCCATTCTCATCGTAGGCAACAATCCGTGCAGATCTCAAGGTTTCACAACCAAAAACCACCGGAAACAGCCTCCACGACCTAGCCGAACTCCCTCTGCGCAACGTCACCGTAGGCATCACTTTAGAGGCCCAGATCTCACTCGTCCGGCATCCGATCAGCGTGAAACAACCACCATTAAGTCCGCCTCGAGGAACGCGGCCTGTTCCTTAAGTTTCACTACCAGAAAGTCCTCAATGCGCCTCCCCACGCCATCACAGTCTCTGTGTGTGAGATCCACCTGCCTCCGTGCTTCTGCAGTTCCAGATTCAATTTTTAGCAAAAATTACACATTCCGACTCATATTTTCCAGAAAATTTCGCCTTCGCCCCAGATTTTGAAATTTTGCAGTTTGACCCAATTCGTTCGAGGAAATTACACTTTTGACCTAGATTTTGTCAAAATTTTCACTTCGGCCACAAAATCATTTAGACACTTTGGGGTAATTTTTTTTAGTTTTCTGGTGTCTTTAAGTGCGTTGGTAAGGCGCAATTGACCTTCTCTTTAACTTACTGTGACTAGTTTGACATACTGGAGGTTACTATTTTGCTTTTGCCATTCTATTGATTATTATTTACTGTATTAGCATTTCCATTTGTTTAATTTGGTTTTATATTATTGTTATTAAAAATAAAGAAAAGAGAGAGGAAAAAAAGAAAAAAAAGGCAGAAAAAAAGAAAAAAAGGCAAAAAAAGAGAGAGAGAGAGAGAGAATTTATTTTCATTTTATTAGTAGCTCTTTATTTGCTTTATTATTTGTTGTTAGCTTTCGTCTATCTATTACATGACTATTTGTGATATTGCCAAGCATTTCAATCTTTAGAACCTCGTGTTAGCTCCCTTCAATCCCAAATGGACCAGAGACTTCAAACCTTTGAACTAAAACTGAATGAACTTACCAAATGCCTTAAGGAATCTTTAGCTGAGATTAAGCAAGAATATAACTCCCAGTGTCAGGAGCTTAGAACCACTACTCAGGAGCTTGAGATAGCTAATCAAGAGCTTAGGAACTCCCAGTAGGAGATTAGGGATTCTCTCCTAAGGATTAATAGGCAAGTCTTTAGTAAGGGTGCAGAAGGGATTCTTGGAAATGTCCCTGAGACCAATCAAGCGCACCTTAAGCCTAACACCGTTGGACCATCTCACACTAGAGGCTCCCAATTGTCTATAGGTCCGCGTAACTCGCAGACTAAACCGCTACACGTTGAGACCCTTCCCCTACAGTTCGAGGAAGAGGACAACCCATGGGATGAGCAAGGGACAGAGGCTTGCTACGAATCCCATGTTACGAACCAACGAGCCTATGGAGGATACACTGCGTGCCCTAGGTATGGACGAGACCCGTCGCTGCCCAGACGATACCGAGACACCCCTCGGCAAGACTACAATGATGATGCGACAAAGAGGGTTAAAGTTGAGGCACCTGACTTTGATGGACGTTTAGACGCGAACTTCCTCGATTGGTTAGCCACCATGGACGACTACTTCGAGTGGTACAATATGAGTGACATATAGTGCGTTCGTTTTACCAAGATAAAGCTCGTAGGATCTGCAAGGAAGTATTGGCAATACGTCCAAGTGAACCTTGAACGATTAGGGCAACCTCCTATTACTGCTTGGGAGGAGATGAAGTTGAAGCTTAAGGAAAAGTATGTGCCGGTCAGTCACTTAAGCACGCTTTTCAACCAATTGAACAGCCTCAAGCAGGGAACCTCATCGGCAGCTGACTATGTCTCTCGATACGATGACCTTCTGATCAGTAATGACTTAAATGAGCCGAGTTTTGTGGTTATTAAGAGGTTCATTAGCGGCCTTAGGGATGACATATAGAGGGAGCTCAGAGTAAACCGTCCTTACACTTTAGAGGAAGCGTATCATAAGGCTATCGACATTGACTCCCTGCCTAAGTATCCCTCCTTCAGGCGTCCCAGCTTCTCTGGATTAGAGTCTCGTCCAACACGCAGCTCCACTGTTTTAGCCAATCAACAGGTAAGTCAACAACTTTCAGGGCCAAGCGCTTCTAGACCAAGAGAGTCATCAACCTCGAATGCTTACATAGGTAGCTCATCGATAGAGTGTTTCAAGTGTCACTCTAAGGGACACATCACTTCAAAGTGCCCGCAACGTGCGTTGCTTATCGAATCTCAAGATGATGCACTACTCGAGAGCGAGCTAGATGTCGTCATCAACCTTGTCGATGTTCCTTCTGATGTGGACAAAGAAATTAATTGTGATGACATGCCATTAGGTCATCTTGGAGTGATGCGATGCCTCCTGACTGTCCCAACGCCAAATGACTCATGGAAACGAAACAGCATCTTCCACACCTTCGTGAAGTGCGGTGCTAAGTCATGTGGTTATTGATAGTGGAAGTGAAAGGAACGTGATCTCTAGTTGAGGTGTTGCTCGTCTTGGACTTAAGATAGAGCAAATTGCTAAGCCTTTCAGAGTTGTGTGGGTCGACAACACTTCATTGCTTATCATTCAGCAGTGTCGTGTCCCACTCCATTTAGGCGACTACAAGGAAGATGTTTTGTGTGTTGTGATCCCTATGGATGTGTCTCACATTCTTTTAGGATGCCCATGGCTATATGACCATGATGTCACTATCCAGGGCCGAGCAAACAACCACATCTTCAAGCATGAGGGCAAGACCATCTTACTTCGTCCTGCGAAGCCTGAGCCTAAAGCAAAGGGTCCAGCCCCCACGAAAGGATCCACCTCTAAGCCTATCAACCTTCACCTCCTTACGGAGAAGCAGTTCATCGAAGAAAGTAGAGAGGTTGATGTCATCCTTGCCGTTGTTTCCAAAGTCCTCTCTCCTCCTATACCAACACTTGACAGCCTTCCAAAAGAAGTGACCCAACTCTTGGACGAGTTTAAAAATGTTGCACCTGAGGAGTTACCTCCTGACTTGCCACCCATAAGAAACATCCAGCATGCGATAGATTTGGTTCTAGGATCACAACTCCTCAACCTTCAATACTACAGGATGAACCTTAAAGATCGAGAAGAGCTCAATCGTCAGGTTAACGACTTGCTTGAGAAGGGCTATATCCAGCATAGCCTCAGTCCTTGTGCTGTCCCTGCCCTTCTGACTCCGAAGAAAGATGGCTCGTGGAGAATGTGTATTGATAGTCGAGCCATCAACAAGATAAATGTCAAGTACAGGTTCCCGATCCCTAGGTTAGAGGACATGCTTGATTTAGTGTCTGGATCTAAATGGTTCTCCAAACTCGATCTTCGCAGTGGTTACCATCAGATTTGAATCAGACCAGGAGATGAGTGGAAAACTACGTTTAAAACGCAAGATGGACTGTATGAGTAGCTTGTTATGCCATTTGGCTTAACAAACGCCCCGAGCACATTCATGCGAGTAATAACGCATATGCTGCAGTCCTATCTAGGAAAGTTCGTGGTTGTCTACTTTGATGGCATTCTGGTTTTTAGTAAGTCCAGAGACGACCACTTGCACCACCTTAAACAACTGTTTCTGACCCTTCGGAAGGAGAAGTTTTATCTCAACCTACCAAAGTGCTCCTTCCTACAGAATCAAGTTACGTTTCTCAGATTCATCATCTCGGAACAAGGCTTATCTGCAGACCCTGTAAAAGTCTGAGCTATTCACAATTGGCCAGAACCGCAGACACTGCAGAAAGCACGTAGCTTCTATGGGCTTGCATCCTTCTATTGGCGTTTCATCAGAGACTTCAGCACACTTATGTCTCCAATTACTGACTACCTAAAGAAGGATAAGTTCAACTAGACTCCCACGGCCTCCACAGCTTTCAGCACTATTAAGAAGAAACTCTCGAGTGCTCCCGTCCTGGCTTTACCTGATTTCAACAAGTGCTTTGAAGTTGCTTGCGACGCATCTGGGGTTAGGATTGGAGGCGTTCTCAGCCAAGAAGGCCACCCTGTCGCCTACTTCAGTGAGAAGCTCAATGAGGCCAAGCAAAAGTACTCCACATATGACAAAGAGTTCTACGCCATTGTTCGCTCTTTAGAGCATTGGAAGTACTACCTCCTTCCCCAACAGTTTGTCATCTACTCAGACCACCAGTCTCTCAAGTTCCTTAGCTCCCAACAGCATTTGAATGCTAAACATACCAAGTGGAGCGAATTCATTCAAGAATTTACCTTCGTGGTCAAGCACCGCCCAGGGGTAGAGAACAAAGTAGCTGACGCTCTTAGCCAAAGAATCCACATTCTCAACACTCTGACGGTTAGTGTCGTAGGCTTTGACAGGCTCAAGGATGAGTACACCTCCTGTCTAAACTTTGGTATCATTTATAATGAGGTTAAAGATGGCAACCGCCATGATCATGTGGATTTCCTTATCGATGATGGCTACCTGTTCCGTGGGTCGAGATTGTGCATTCCCCGCACATCACTACACAATTTTCTTGTTTTGGAATTGCATGCTGGAGGATTAGCAGGACACTTCGGTGTTCAGAAGACTATGGCCCTAGTTGAAGATAGGTTCTATTGGCCTTCCCTTAAGCATGATGTTTCTCGAACCCTTTCCTAGTGTCGTACGTGCCATACGACCAAGGCAAAGAAGAGGAATACTGGATTATACACGCCTCTTCCTATTCCTGAGGCACCTTGGAAGGACATTAGCATGGATTTCGTGCTTGGGTTGCCTAAGACAGTGAGAGGGCACGACTCTGTCTTAGTTGTGGTTGATAGATTCTCAAAGATGAAACATTTCATTCCGTGCAGTAGGACTACCGATGCCTCACATCTGGCAAAGCTTTTCTTTCGAGAGGTTGTGCGTCTTCATGATTTGCCTACTACTATTGTGTCTGATAGGGATGTCAAGTTTGTCAGCTATTTTTGGAAGATCCTTTGGAACCTCTTCGGGACACAACTAAAGTTCTCGTCTACTTTCCACCCTCAAACTAACGGACAGACTGAAGTAACTAACCGTAGTTTAGGTGACTTGCTTTGTAGTTTAGTTGGCGATAAGCCTGGTAACTGGGATTTAGTCTTGCCTATAGCTGAATTTGCTTACAATAACTGGTCAATAGATCCACTGGCAAAAGCCCATTCCAAATTGTTCAGGGTTACAACCCAAAGCAGCCTATTGACCTTGTTCCCCTTCCCCTGTCTGCTCGCCCTTCTGAGTCCGCCGAGACCTTTGCATATCGCCTTCACGATATTCATGCTGAGGTTAGGCGTAAGTTAACTTTAAATAATGACAGGTATAAGATAGCTGCTGATGTCCATCGACGTCACCAGGAGTCCGATGTTGGCGACCTTGTCATGGCTCGTATACGGCCTGAACGTTTCCTAAAGAGGCCTTACAAGAAGCTACATGCCCATGTCTTTGGCCCGTTTTGCATTTCCAAGAAGTTAGGGCCTAATGCATATTTATTAGTGACCTCCAGATATGGCTATCAGTCCAGTATTTAATATTGAGGATCTTGTTCCTTATCGGGGCACTTTCGAGCTGCCCCCTTTGTTTTCTGATGATGCTGTAGGTACCCCGACCCACCAAGCCCCAACTCCACCGTCGCTTAAGGTTGCGCCACCTGCCCAAGCCATTGACGCCGTGATGGATGAGCAGACAATATCCACTCCAGCAGGTCCCATCAGTCGTTACCTCGTTCATTGGAAAGGCTACAATGATGCAGACGCCACGTGGCTCACCGAGGACGAATTCCGTCGTATAGACCCCGCCTTCCTTGATGACTTCCAGCTGTCCAACTCTCCAGTGGCGAGTTCTTCCAACCCGGGGAGAAATGATGCAGATTTAATTTAACTAATTAATTATTTTTATTGTTGTTTATTAAAAAAATCATTGAAATCACAAATAAAAATTTTGAAATCCAATGTCACCCTATTCAACCAAATCAAATTAAAGGAGAAGGAGTGTGATTTTGTTAAATCTAATTTGATATTTGGATTTTACATGAAAAATTGTGTAGGAATGGCCCAAGAGATTGATTGATAAAACAAGAAGGAAATAATTATGTCAAAAATCAAGAAAAAAGGGGTTTAATTGAATTTAATGTCAAGCATTAGTGTTCATGCTAAGAATATTGGTAATTTAGAATGTGTCTATACTTGGATTGATAGGCATTTTGCAAGAAATCAAAGAGGAGCACAATCCTTCTAAAGAGGTCGAATTGAATAAGTAATCAAGAGGTAGTATTAAACTCATAATTTGAATGCTTTCTTACTTGTTTAAATATGTTTGTGTTATGTGATTTATTTTGCCATTATGTGATTGAGCAAATTATGTGATTATGTATGAAATTCTATGTTGAGCATGCCTTGGCAATATGTTATGAAGAATGGTATGATGACTTAATTGATTGCTCTCTTTCTATGACAAATGGTATGCACATACAATGTTGCATGACAACGTTATTTTCATGATAACGTAGCACATTTTTACATAGCACGATTAGTATGATTGTTATGATTCATTACTATTGAGATTTTTATGAAATCTCATTCTTTTTATGTTCAAATATTCACCAACCAAGGGTTGGACCAAGTAAAGACAAAGGAAAGGAGATCATTTTAGGAGATAACTAGTTGTTATGCTTCTTGGAATAATATTTGTGCTCCTTATGAATTGTTTTAAATTATTGTAAATTATGTTGGATAATGTATTCATGACCTAAGTGAACATGCATATTATTATATTACCAAGACATCATGAGTTGGCATGAGCAATGTGATTGAAAGAGTCATATGCAATGAAAAGGGAAAAATAATCAAGAATGGCAATTAAATGGGATAAAAGTTAACTTTTTTAGGGTAAAGTTTGACCAATAAGACTCTGTGCAATTGGACGAGAATTTCACTATTTGGTAGGTTTATAGATCATATTTTTAGTTTTAAAACAAGTGGTATTTCATAAAATTTAGAGTTTTGTACAAAAAGTTATATCCTTTCAAAGTTGGGCATAAATTCTGAAAAATTGAAAAATAACCATATAAACTGTACCACTTTACGTGAAATCTGGGACTGATTGGTGAATTCTGGATGCTAATAAATATTTTTCCCTTAAAGATTGCATTAAGAGCTTTAAGTAGAACTTAGAACCTCTTCATTTCAATTTTTCTAGAGTTAGTTATAAATTTTCAAAATTTGGCCTTTATTCAGGTTATAATGAATAGTAATTCGAATTAAGTGAAATTTTAAGTTTGAATTTTTCTAACTTAAGGCAATAAGATATGATTCCAAATGGTTTTAATTGAGGTAAAATATGATCAAAAAATAAGGTGTGATAAGAAGCAACCCCCTCTCTACCTGAGTAGATAGGGAGCACTGAGTAGAACCTCATGTCGAAAAGCCTAGCTCTTATGAAGCTAATAGTTATAGACCCATCTAGCGAAATCTTTAGGCGCCAAATGATTGTTAGGCATGGTTTTAGTAAGAGAAATACCAAATCTTAAATTCGGGGATCCCTAGCAAATTTTGTGCCTAGGAACTCTTTGTTGATATGAGGAGAATCTCCAAGAAGATGGAAGCCACATGTCTCAATGGATAAAGCTAGGGTCATCATTATAGTTAGTAAAATGGGAATAACATATTGACAAACTCCAAGATTTTTGGAGCGAAGATAACCAACACATTAGGAGAGGATCGGGTAGGGGTCTTTATAGGCTCTAAGAGAAACATCCCAGCTAAATGCTGGACCCGTGGCAAGGAGAATAGTCCTAACATTAGATGTAGAGTTGGTAATGCAGGCTGACGGTACGGATATGGGCTAGTCCATGGTGGATTGGGCCAAAAGCGGTACGAGCTGAAATGCCAGCCCACACCCACCAAAACTGGCTACTAGGTTGGTTATATTATTTTTTTAAAAAAAATTATGTTGTTACAAAATGAAAACAAGGAGCTAAGGACTAAAATGACATTCAAACATAAGTTAATAATTGTTTGGCAATTTAACATCACTCATCATTACAAAATAGTGAAATACATTATTTAGAACTGTAAAAGAAAAACTTGAGTACGGGACAAGCGAAGAATTTAATCTAATAAATGGGTGTGATTATATACATACAAATCGAAGAGGATTCTAAATTGGGGTAGTTATTTTTGCTACCACTTCGAAACTGTAAAATTTTGCGTCTCAATCATAAATGTATATTAATTTGCCTAGATGTTAACAAAATTATAAATCAACGTCTGGAAGGCAGAAGATATATGAGATAGAGAATAAAGATATGATGTTGATTATTGATATGCACACAAAAGTTTTTTTTTAATTTCATGATTAAAATTTCTCTATTTCAGTTTTATTAGATAAAAAGAATTCTTATTATTAGTATAGGTTCGGCTTTAAAGTTGGAATGTTAAAAGTTGGACTTGGAATGTTGGACTTGAGTAGTGAATTGTAATAATAATAAAAGATTGATTTATATAAAAAGAAAAAAAGGGGGCTGGCAAAGTGATTTCAAAACGGTGCAAGCTGAGGTAATCCATACCTTGGCGGGTTGGTATTTTGCTAACCCAAGCCCGTATTACCGGCTCTAATTAGATGCCAGCCCAACAATAGCGATTGTGGCTGTGAATGTCACATCTAGTAATTTGGTAATTAGGAGTAAAGACATTCCTAGGTAGTTAAGGGCCATAATAATAGGAAGAAATAAGAGGACACAATTCTTAAAGTTAAGATAGTGTCGGGATAAAAGTACGATTTATGGTGATTTTTCAAATTTAAGATTTGAAATCTAAAAAAACTTTTGACCAATGGAACAGTAGTAAGTTCTGTACAAATCTGGCACTGTTTCACATTAAATTGGTTCTTAAGATTATTTTTTCTTGAAAGAGCGTTCAAACAAATTTCAGTAGGACTTAGAAGCATTTTGTTTTTATTTTTTAAAATTAATTATGAATTTTCAAAGTTGGATAGAAATTCTAGAATTACCAAGTGAATAGTGAATCTATAAGTAACATCCTAATTACATTTTTCTTGAGGTTAATGCCCTCTAAAGTGATCTAAAATTATATTAAATGGACTCTAAGGTAATATAATAGTTAGGTGTAACGATGAACACTATAACACCTTAACTTATAATCCTTATTCATATCAAATAAAAACAATTAGAATCACTCATTAAGTCTTTAAGTTGGAAAAATTCAAATTTAAAAATTAATATTCTTGGGTTACTATTCATTGTAACCTTGAAACTGGTCTCATTTTGAAAAATCATAACTGAATCTAAAAATGTTAAAATGAGGTGATTCCAAGTTTTATTTACAGCTTTCTAATAGATCTTCAAAGAAAAAATACTTTTGGGTTATGAATCCATCTCATGTGTGCCCAGTTTTCATGCCAATATACACTGCTCATATGGTCAATTTTTCAGTTTTTCAGAATATATGCCTAACTTTGGGTAGGCATAACGTTTTATACCAAATCTAATTTTAATTACTTATAACTCATTTTAAAGCTAAAAATGAGATCTATTTATCTCCCCAGTTTCATGATAAAACTTCTTCATTTGCCCAAAATCATGTGGGCTCCATTATTGGCTCATTTTAGGTCATTTTCATCCCCTTTAGGTGTCAACTTTGAACAATTATATGACAACAATCCAAAACATGCTTCTACCATACTTCACAGCATATAAACTAATCTTTGCTTACATTACAGATCATAAAGTAATCATCAAGTCATCAAAAGATATATATATATATATATTATAATATTGTAACACATTGATTATAAGTTCATACAAAACATATCATAACCATTCTTCATGCTAAGGCCACTTCCTTGCCTTTTTCTTGAGTAAGGCCTAAATAGTGTTAATTTAAGCATAAAGAAGGGTGAGATTTCATGAAAATCTCAATAGCATGGAACCACAATTACAATGTTAAACAAGCAAAGCATGTCAAGTCATATGTCAAATGTTATCCTCATGTTAACAACCAACATTCATGCCATGGAAAGGGAGCAATATACCAGATCAATACTCAACTCAACAATGTATATTGCCAAGGCATAAAATATAAGGAGTTAAGACATTATCGTATATCTAGCTCTACCACATCATGGCATATAAACAAAGAATAACACATAGCAACAAACCATTCAAATTAACATTAAATTGTAAGTTCTATACTACCTCATGATACACTTGATTCCTTGGTTTCTTGTCCTTGTTCTTGAGTTATTTCTTGATCAACAATAATGCCCATGAAAAAACAACAACAATGACATTCTAAATCAATTGCGTAATTCCATTAAACACTTAACTCTAAAATGCTAAACCTTTAATCATTATTTTAGGAGTTTAATATCATCTTCTTTAACATAACTCCCATATGCTTTTCTTGCATGATTTTTCATGTAGAATCCATATATGAACTTTTCTTCTTAGCCGAGAGCTATGCCTAGGGTTCTAAAAATTTCATTTTCAATTTCAATACTTCTAAACACATGCTCTCTACATACACCTACACAAAGTTACTTTCTAAACTCATTGGAAGCATCAAAATAACAAAAATCAAATCCTAGCATGGAGAACCAGCTCTAGCTGAATAGTGTCCCTAGATTGTACAAGTTAAAATCTTTCCAATAACATGGTTTAACCATCATCAATCAACCATTTTTTATCCCCTAATCTATATATAAACTTAGAATCAATCATATCTCATCACAAACTAATTTGACCAACTATGCCGAGGGTTTTCAACTATCAAACTCCATCAAACTCATGTCAGAAACCATCAATCCATAGAGTATCATGGACCAAGAAAGAAAACCTAGTTTTTACCTTGATTTAGGACCTC